AGTGGCATCATCTACCGCTACAATGTCTATATATTACTGTATTTGAGTCTCTGCATATTGCACATTCACATTTGCTTTATCATATTTTTTAAACATTTTTGTTATTCATGTGCAGGATATGGACAAGAATTTGAATCATGCAAATGGATTGATATTCAATCATTCAAGTTTTCCTAAATGGAGGATAGCCAAAATGATCAAATTTTAATTGTTGCATTATGGCACTGTAATTTGTTGTGTTATCTATTGTTTGTCTTTTCTCTTTTAATTTAATTATATTAGAACTATTATAAATTTTGCCTACACATATTACTCGCTAACTAGACACTTTATTACTATAATACAGCTTAAATTTTGTGATTTGGAATTTTATTAAGTGAGATTAAAATTTCTCTCTTTATTCTAATGAAAAAAAAAATATGTACATGATATTTATATATCCAATCATAAAATTATTAATGAAATCGAATAATTTTGTGGGTTATACAGTATGAGGCAGTCCTCCTCTTTAAATAAAATCACCAAATTGCTGATAACTTTCGTGGTGAGAGAATTCGAACTCGAAACTTCTCACTCTCTAAATCTTCTCCAAGAGATAGAAAAACCAACCAGACCACACCTAATTGGGTATAATTCTAATTATTGTAATTCAAATGACTGCATTTTTAATATGATGGTACGTTAGCATTTAGAGTTAGACACCTTTTAAGCATGAACTTGAATTATGATCTTGGTATCCAAAATATTAATTTTTGAAATTTATGTAAATTATGAAATAACATTTAATAAACTGTAACATAATAAGTGGCGCAAGGCGCTGACTTTCAGCTAGTTTATATGTAAACAAAAACTTAACATAACCTAATAATTTAGTAGTTTAAACGTGGTCAAATTTCTTTTTATGTAAACAAATCAAATTATCATCTGTTAAATTTGTGTTTTCTACTTTTTTTTTTTTAGTATAATATATTAGGATTTCATGAAAAACTTCAAATCAATATAAATAATGCATACAGTATATAATCTTCACCTGAATATCAGATATAGAATAAATTTATTATAATTAAACAATTGTTATTCGTTGATCTCACTTATTATAATTGGAAGGTGAACTTGAAAAAATTAATAGATCTTCAAAGTGGCTGACTAGACAAACTCCCTAAATCTTTCGCACATAATATCCATGAACTAGTTACTTATAACAAACATAGAAGATTTGCACCACTAAATCCAATGGAGAAACATGCCACGTTACCAGGTTTCAAAAGACAGATATCATAGTATATACAAAAAATTCTCCACAAATTATACATCTGTCCAAATAAACCAAAACAAATGCAAAAAACAAAATAAAAACTCTACACAAGATGAAAAGATCACAAAAACTCCACGAAGATAGAGATAAACCGCGAAAAATAGCAAAAACATCAATAACTTAGATCTGTGCCAAATAGTTATAGATCTGTAACTTATTTACAAAAAATGAAAAATTTACAATGAAATAAAAAATAATAGGGAGAGGCTGTCACGAGAGACAAAAATTAGCCCTTTTCTATATTTACATGCTTAGGGTGTGTGGTGTGTCTACTTATAAAAAACAGTTTTCTGTTAGAAAATAGTTTTCTTAGAAATGAAAACTAAAAAATAGAAATTGGAAAATGTGTTCACTTGGTAACAATAAAAAAATCATATTTTAACTTAACTTCACAAATATCATTCATAACTTTCATAATTAAAAGAAATAAAATGTTATAAAATAAATTTAAAAATTTTTTATGTAAAATTTTTTAAATTTTTTAAATTTTTATTATTGATTATTTATAATAATACTATCAAAAATAAATTAAAAATTTTTTAGCTAAAATTTTTTAAATTTTTTTAAATTTTATTATTGCATTTAGGTTATAATAAATACTATCATTTTAATATCCATTTTGCGTAATTTTTTTAAAAAATATAAGATATTATTAATATAAATTTATATAAAAAATAAATTTAATTATTTAAGCATAAATATAAATTTTTATGTTATTTAAATATTTAATTTTTCAATATAAATTTTTATGTTATTTAAATATTTTAATTTTTCAATAAAAATATTTTATAGAAAAAATTAGTTATTGATATTACAATTTTAATTATGAAAATGTCATTTTTTAAAAATGAAAAACAGTTGAAAAGGAAAAATCTGGAAAAAACTTAAAGCCGTTTTCCAAATCTTAGTTAAATTTTAAAAAATTGAAAAAATATTTCCTAATGTTTCAAATAGAAAACTGATTGATTTGAATATAGAACTCTGTTTTCCAGTTTTCTTAAAAAACTTTTCTAGAAAACTTACAAGCGCATACACCTTAAATTTTTATATGTCAATGGAGAAAAGGAAATAAAATTCTAATTTTATTATATGCTCTTCCCTTCGTACTTTTTTTTTAATTTTAATTTTTTTCTATTTTCCTTATTTTGCTATTTGATTTACTATGGATATGCTCAACTAATTAATTTTTGATTTTTGACCTTTTTCTTTTATCTATGACGTTGAAGCGTAACTATAAACTTGTTTTTATTTTCATTATGGCCATCAAGCATATTTAATTATATAGTTTTGTTTTAATTATATTAACTTTCAATATTTTTCATATTCATTTATATATTTTTTATTAAAATCAATATATAATATTAAATAATAATTATTACAAATACAATAAAAACATGTAATATGCAAATTAAATGGGTACAATAATAAACATTTGAAAAATAAAATTTACATTTTTCTTAAAATGAATTTACCCAACCGATTCATACCCTGCCTCACTCTGCCTCGCAGTGGAACGGATGGCGAGGCGCAATAGCAAAGCCGGCCTGGGGATCAAAAAATAATTTTATTTAACTATGGGCGATATAAATAAAATTTTTTTTTTCAAAAATTTTTTACATTAAAAATTAATTAATTTTTTTTTTAATTTTGGGGAGCCACAGCCTTTTGGCTAATGAAACAAAATCTCGTTTAGCTCTTATTATGGCAAAAAGTATATTCAATTTTTAAACTTTGAGTTTTAATTCCTCAATTTATTTGCAGACATGAGCCTTTCAAATTATATTTTTACTAAATTAAACCCTTATTTATGAGGTCATAAAATGTACAGTCACTTGGGAGAAGGAAGATGACAATAATTACAAGATTAGGGTTCTTTTGACAGTAAAAATTAAGAATTTGATATTGTTTCCTTCAATGTTCTGATTTTTATTTACCTTTACTTCAACATCGAGATGAAAAATTGAGATTTTATCGTGCCATATTATTGTTAAATTTGTTTTTAATGTTAATAACTTCAATTCTTGCTCTTAGTTAATAAGGGTTTGATTTTAAAAATTTAAAGTTGTAATGGCACTGTCTGGAAAAAAAAAAAATGCACAGGCTTAATAGGTGAATCTTACAAATTCAAGAGCTTAAATAAATGTTTTGCCTTCTATTTTTGTTAAAAATTTTAAAAAATTTATCAAATAAAAATCTCAGTAAAATGCACTTATTTATATAAAAAATTCCCATTTAATTTCTTTAATTGATAAAAAATAAAGTTTAGAAATTAAAATAAAAAAATTTGACAATAATTATCCCATTTAGGTGGACTCGAAACCCCCTTCTAAGTTTTGACCAAAAAAAAAAAAAAAAAAAAAATTAGGTTGGACTCGAAACCCCCTTCTAGTTTGAACCAAAAAATAAAAAAAAAAAAAAACAAAAAAAAAAAAAAAAAAAAAACAAAAGTCAATCACATAAATTGGAATTAAAGTGTCCGAAATTTATTTTTTTTTAGAAGAAATAAAACTAGAAATTTCATCCGGAGGAAACTGTACACAACTGTAGGATGAATATAGATAAATATATTTTTACATTTTTATATTTTTGTATAGAATAATACACCACTTATACAAAGAATAAACAAATACAATATTGATTTCAAATATTTGATATTTGTGCTTTAGGCGAGGAGATCTGCACCACAATAATGATAATAATAATTCAAAATTAAATCCGATAATAAAATACCAAAATATGAACAACAATAAATCTCAATATTTAGGGACAATAAATTAGATCTTATACAGATCTAAAGATTATATACAAAAAAAAAAAAAAAAAAAAAAAGAAACGGCTTGCGTGGACTCATGGTGAGAGTTATTGTGGCCGTGGTGAAGAAGAAAAATAGAGATTTAAGTTTTTTAGTTTGGAAAAGCAAGAAAAATCTTGTGTGGTTGAAACTTTTCACCCTTAAAATTTATAATATTTAAGAAAAATTATAAATCAAATAATAAGAAAAATTAACTATTATTCGTTTCCATTTGTTTGTTTTTTTATTCCTATTTAAAATTCCAAAAGTTTTCAAGGTTTCTAAATATATATGGTAATATTTGATTATTAAAAAAAAAAAAAAAAAAAAAAAAAGGAAACGGGGTGACTATGGGTGAGAGCTTATTGGTGGCCGTCGGTGAAAGAAGAAAATAGAGATTTTAAGTTTTAGGTTTTGGAAGAAGCAAGAAAAAATCTGGTGTTGAAACTTTTCACCCTTAAAATTTTTTTATAATATTTAAGAAAATTATAATCAAATAATAAGAAAAAATATACTTTATTCGTTCCATTTTGTTTGTTTGTTATTCCTTATTTAAATATCAAAATGTTTTCAAGGTTTCTAAATTTATATATGTAAATGATTATTTTTTTCATAATAACCTTTATAATTATTCATTAAATGAAAACTTTTTATTAATATCCTAATAAATTAAAAATAAAAAATTTATAGATTAAAATTTTAATATGTGTATTTTTTCATATCAAGCAAACGATAAAAGACAGAGAAAGTATATACCAAAACCGTGGAAGATTCATCCACTGGACTAAAACGGATGGCTGTTGGTACCTTTTGAAAGTCAGAAGATTACAGGGATGATAGTGATATTAAAGAAAATTTCAAGGGAGGTAACTGATATTATACCTTTTCCTCATCTTCTCAATTCAAGACCCTGTACAAAGACCAGAAAGAATCGCAATGTACCTTAGTCTTGTAGTATATTTATTAACTATTACTATTATGATATAAACAACTCCCCAGCTTTCTCTTCTCTTTCTCTCTTCCTCTATGTTGCTTTTACCTGCATATGTTACGGCATATTAAAGGAAGTGACCTGTTCTTCCCACGGATTTTGCCATTGCCAGCTGGGAACACTACCAGAGGTCAAAGTTAGTTTCAATTTGTGCTGTTGTTTGGTTTCTAAGAAATTTTAAAAAGCAGAAAAGAAAAGCAATGGAAAATAAAATATGGGTTTTCTATTTGTTTGAACTGTTTGCTGAATAAACAAATAAAATGGAAAAGTCAACATATTAACTGAATTAAAGAAATACCTTGCGCCTTTTTATTTTCTTCGCTTTTGCGTTAACACTACATTAAAAATTTATTTTATCAAAGAGAGATTTTTTTGCTTTCTCTCTCTATTGTTTCTTGTGTTACTGTGTACAATTTGATATTTCAATATCTGCTAAAGAAGGTGATTATGGGTTTCGCTTATCTGATTTGTATTGTAATTTCTTGTTCTGTTTCAAAATCTGTTGGGCGAAATCTGTGTCCAACGTTAACTGTTGATTCAGTTCAGGAGCTGTGATATTTTCCAATTTCTGTCATCATTTATCTTTTTGGTGTTTGAAGGATCTGTTGTTAGTGGGGGGAATTCTTAATTTTTGATTTTATTCCTCCACTAATTTAGAATTTAGTACAATATTTATATGTCCATCATTATATTTGCCTTTGCTGCAGCTCATTGAAAATTATTACTTTCACTATTTCAGTTTTGTGTTTTATGTCCTCTACACAAGGAATTAAATATTTTGGCTATGCAGAAGTTTATTTGATTTGCTATTTGTTTTATCTAATTATTATGCCATGTGTTCTGCTTCCTGGGCTCTTTCGCCTTTTCTTTTCATTTTCTTCAGATTGTTAAAATGGTAATATCCATATTTTGAGGGCTCTGATGTGAACCTTTTCCGTTTATGAACTCATATCCTTTGAAGAAATGTGACCCATGTGTGTGTCCATTAGCTCGGGTTTTAGGCAGAGGAATGGATTTTATGGGGAAAAAAATGCATATCCATTATTGCATAAATATGAATGAATATGAGAATAACATTTTGGGCTATTAATGGAAGTGCATAAAATTTTGTGGGAAACTAGTATAAACTATCCATGCTGGCATCAGCATCTTATTTGGTTGACAAATTGATTTCTTGCATTTCCCTTCCAAAGTTTTTGTTAATGTTGAACAAGTTCTGGAAAAGCAAAAATAGCTCATTTTATGAGGTATTTGGGTTCCATAACTACATGTTTATCGTTTAGTTTTGCAGGACAAGGTACAACAACTACCATTGGAGATATTCATTTGCATAAACGTTCCGGTGATGACTTGTTTCCCTTCGTTTTTCAAAAAGAAGGGATCTCCCCCAACTAAACGTGCTACAGAAGTTGACGAAGGTATGCATTTGCATATGGACTTTCTTGTTCTATTAGCAAAGGCCATAGATAAATTTTGTGGGCATTGGAGGATAAATTAAATGATATGATTTCTGCTAGGACCTGTTTATAGCACTATAGCAGTTTAGATGACTGAATTGAATGGAGAAATAGTTACATAAGCTTCCTAATTCTATTATTCTCTAATGTCCTTTTCCTCTTCCATATGCTGAAGATTCTCATGAGTTATCGTGGTGCAGTTGTTTCAAGTGTTCAGAATACAAACTTGTACACTTACAAAGAATTGCGAATAGCAACTGAAAATTTTAATCCAGCCAATAAAGTTGGAGAGGGAGGTTTTGGTTCTGTCTACAAGGTGATTCCATGAGTTGTGGCGATTAGCAGACTGTTTTCTTGATTTAAATGCAAATGCCTGATAAAATTTTCTTGAAATATACAGGGAGTGCTCAAAGATGGCTCAGTCGTGGCTATAAAGGTACTATCAGCTGACTCAAGACAAGGGTTGCGGGAATTCTTGACAGAAATAAAATTAATTGCAGATATAGAACATGAAAACCTGGTTAAGTTGTATGGTTGTTGTGTTGAAGAAGACCATAGGATCTTGGTCTATGGCTATCTCAAGAATAACAGCCTTGCACAAACTCTTCTTGGTAAATCCACCTTTTTATTCTTCAATTGAATTGATCAATTTTGAGGGAATAATCATTTTCTCTTTGCCTTTAAGGTGGAGGTCATAGCAGCATCCAATTCAGTTGGCCTACAAGGTGTAAAATATGCATAGGTGTTGCGCAGGGGCTTGCATTTCTTCATGAAGAAGTCAGTCCGCATATTGTTCATAGGGACATCAAAGCAAGCAATATCCTCCTTGATGAAAATCTGATGGCCAAAATTTCAGATTTTGGCCTTGCAAAGCTTTTCCCACCCAATATGACCCATATAAGCACACGTGTTGCTGGAACTGCGTAAGTTTATATGTTCTACCACACCTGTTCAAGTGTGCATGGAATCCATTAAAGTTTGCTTACAGATGCAAGATTGTATTATACTTGATGGTTTTAAAATCAATTGCAACTTGTATAGTTTGGTATAACCTACTAGAACTGTCTATTGCACTATTATTCTGTTTGGAAACTCTATTGTATTCAAGAAGGGTAAGTTTCATTGGTTGAGGTCCCCTCAGAATCAGAGTGTATCTGATAACTTTAAAATCATATCAAGAAGATAACCTTTACCATCTTTAAGCTGAGATCATATAATATTGATCCTTCCTTTCCTTCTTAGAGATGATGCGTTGGCTGCTATTACACTTGGCTTTTAGTTAGTTTCATATTCTCATGTTTGATGTTTAGCCCTTCAGTTTTCTCAAAAATCAGTCTGAAGTCTGTGATAACATATTATCAGGATCATCAAATGTGATTATTATGACTAGTTGCTGACATGATATGATATTTGAATGGTACGGAATAATATGGAATTTTTTTTTTTTTTTTTTTCATTTTAACCAGATTTTCCTTTTTGATTTTTTTAGAGGTTATTTGGCACCTGAATATGCTATTCGAGGACAGCTGACAAGGAAAGCAGATTTATACAGTTTTGGTGTTCTAATCCTGGAAATTGTTTGTGGGAGGTCCAATACGAACAGGCGGTTACCCCCAGAAGAGCAATATCTTCTTGAACGGGTATGGATTTTTTAAGTTCACTATATTTTTATCTCGTAATGGTGCTCATTACTGAGATAAAAATGTATGTTTTGTGGTGAAAAGAGGTGATAAAGATAATCATTTTGCACATGCATGCAAAAGACACCGGAGAATCCCCTTGATGAGCCTGTCTGTAGGTTTCTAAAGTGAATACTGGCTCATGTATTTTGAACCAGGGGATTGATTTCCCACTTCTAAGTGTTCATTTTATTGGTAAGAAAGATATCTCGAAATTAAATTAATAAATCAGAGCCATATAAACATGTTTCCTAGAAATGTGGAAAGCATGAATTGAAAGGATATCAGTGTCAAGTGGTCCAAGAGTGTTTAATACGTGATAGCCCTCAGCATCATTGTGGAACAGCAACAAGTTTTTTATCTAACTTTTCTACTTTTCCTGTCTTTCTTTTCTTTTTTTTTTTCCTTTTTTTTTTTTATTCTTTTTGTCTAATCTCAGAAGTGTTGTTTAATGGGCTTATCTCCAAGTTGTTTCTCTAACATTTCTTTTTATCTATTTTTACTCCTCTTGTTTATGTTTTAATTATTATTCTTTTAGCAAATCAAAATTTGAAAGGCTAAAGTTCGAGCTAAATGAGAAGCTCTCATTTGGTTCTTGATTCTTTGACGGATTAATAGTAATAATTTTCTTGTTGCACACAAAGAGACCTAATAAAGTTTTGCCTCCAGGTGACGTGTTGCATGCTGATAAGGGAGTAGGTTTTATTCTCACAAATTGCCCCATTGGTAATTATGAGGAGAATTATGTGTGGAAACACTAGATGGAGTATGTGTAAAGCTTTTGATAGCAGGAAAGATGCTTAGGTATTATGCTGTATGTTTAGTATTTCTTTGGAAAGAAATGCTCATATTATTAAGAATTAGAGGTCTTTATTTTAGTACAATTGTTGAGGGATAAAATAGTTTCATTGGCCTCATTACCAGTCAATTCTCCATCAGTCTTTACCTTGCAGTCTATCTCCCTGTACCTTGAAGTTCTATCTCCCAGTCTTAGTAGAGACTCTTTCCATTCTTCTCCTCGCAGTTGAATAAATATGATCCTTCATTTGTTGTTGAGGTGCAAACTTCCTTTCTTCCGACCTTCAAGAATGGTTCACTATGCAATTCTGTAGAAGCCTTGGTCAGCATCATCTTTTCCTTTGAGAAAAATCTCTTGGTGTAGGTGTGAAATAAATAGACCAGCAGATTCACTAGACTTTTCCTGCAATTCTACGCTAGTGGTTGATTTTGCAATATAGCTTCCAGTAACATTCAAGAGAAAACTTTTGTTTTTGTATACTACTAACTACATACCACAATAGGTTGAACTTTTCAACTGCATACAAAGCTTATCTCCATATAAAGCTTCCATACAACTGACATCAGATTTGGGGTATTGGTACCATACGAGAAGCGTAGGCCTAGTGGTCTACCTGGGTCGATCAATGTTTCATCATCTTTTATCTCTGATATTTATTCTTTTTTTTTTCTCTTTTTTCTGAAGTGAGGTGTCCTCAGGTGAATTTGTAAAGGACGGGGGAAGTTATGAACATGTTGGAGTATTTTTTACACTACCAGTGATCTTAAAAGAGTAGTTGTGAGATAAGACAGACCTCTAATTCCAGTAAAGTATGAAAGTAATGAACTAAGGCTAAGTTTCTTATACGCTGTAATGAAATATAACTTAATGTAATTAGATTGATTTTTAGTTTAAAAATTAAATCAAAAATGAATTTACGTTTGATTATGTGTACCAAGCGTATATATCCTAAGAGTTTATATGATTATATCACAACATTCAATTGCATCATATACTATGTTAAGTTCCTAGTCATCAATATTCTGTTTCTATGCAAAGACTTACAAGTTTAAGTTATGAACGCTTTGTCTAACTTTCTTCTATCAAATGTATGATTTAACGGGCTCCAAAATCATCTTTCTTTCTGATTGACTGGGTCGAAAAGTAAGAGATATTATTATTAAGGAAATATGATAATTGCAGGTATGGGAATTGCATGAGAAGGGAGAACTGGCGACTTTGATAGATCCATCATTGCATGGAGATTATGACACTGAAGAAGCTTGCAAATACATGAAGATTGGTCTTCTTTGCACCCAAGACATACCAAAGCTGAGACCAACAATGTCCACTGTGGTTAAGATGCTAACGGGCGAGATAGATGTGAATGACTATAAAATATCAAAACCTGGACTGCTTGCTGAGTTCATAGCTTTCAGAGGTAGTGACAAAAGAAAGAAAGCTAACGTCTCATCTACTACAGGATCTGCCGGTTCAACTAAGCCGGGCGATGACAATTTATCTTCATCATCGGGGATGGCTACCTCATATGCTACTATGACCTTTAATTCTATATATGATAGAAGCAATTAACTTGTGACATTTTTACGTGTCTTCTTCTTCTTTTTCCCAAGGGGGATTATAATGGATGCTATGTTTATTGTTTAGTTTTGTATGTTCCCTTTTGGTTTTTTAGTGAGGTGAGGTTGTCCTTGTAAATCAAGAGTTTTCCCCCACCTTTTTTTTTTCCCTAGTCCATATTTCCGTTGATCACTATTTTTTTTTTCTTTTATCTTGTATTTAAACTACACCATATACTTATGAGCATTCCTTCATGCCATAAATAGATATTCCTGTAAATATCATGTATTTTTTTTTCCTTTTTTTTTGGAGAAAGGGTCTATGCAATAATCAATAACCCCCATTTGCATTTACTCTTAAAATTATCTCTTCTTACTTTAATTGTTTACTGTAACATTTACACTCCAATCAAGCAATTATCATCTGACAGCAAAAATTAAACCTAATATTTTACAGAACTGCTGCTTTAGCATTGTTCTAAATATTTTACAGAACCATTATTTTAGCATGTTCTAACTCTAAACTCTTCTGACTTGAATTATTCAGGAAATCAGCTGCACAAAAAAATCATATTCTCCTTTAGCATTGCATTTACATCTTCTCTTCTTGCAACTTCTCTATCTTGCAACTCATCTAACCTTGTACCAAAACAATGAAAATGGGTATTAACAAGCTAAAATAGTTTATGAAAATCCAGAAACTAGGCATGCTATTGTTAAATGATAACCTGAAACGAGAAAGATTGCCACAAGGAAGTTAGTTTGTACTAGTGAACTGATATATCCTGTGAGAGAATGATATAAGACCTACCACAGGAATCTCATGTTTAGTATTATTTTTGTTTTTGATTTTTGGTTTCTTTTATTTTTGTATGCTAAAAGTTTGCATCTTGGAAAACAGATGATGGAACAAAGAAAAACTTATGATTTTCCCTTATTGCAGTAACATGGTTTTTTATTTTAAAACACCAAATAACAAAAATCTGGTTTATAATAGATTTTTCCTTTATCTTTCAGTTTCAGGAAAATAGAAAAAGGCCCCTTTATCACCCCCACGAACGAACCAATAGGGCGACTAGCCAACAAATGGAGATAGAAAAGGTAATAGTGTTAGAACATAAGAATGGCAAATCAACAAACTGGCAAAAGAATTGATAGCCGTTCTGTTGCGGAAGCATAAAACCCATTTTGCAATGGGGCAACCTATCCTGTTTCAATGCGAATACTGGAAATCACAGTTCACGGACCAATCCAGCCACCAATGCTTGAATATTGTTGTAGCAGAATAATTTATTATTACTAAAAAACTCCTTCAACAGTGAATCCGAGACGGATGGAATTTTGTAAACCCAAGTTTTTCCATAACATCAATGGAAAATTCAACTCAATGACTTGGCAAAGAATGTAATGAGCAGCAAAGACACGACTTTCTCCGAGGAAATGCAACAAATCATTATCCATAAGAGGTCCACTGAATAGAAACACAAAGGGCTCAAGGATCTGAAAATCAGATTGATCAACCACAGGTATATTGTGCAGAATAACTAAGCAAGTGGCGATGCTAAATCTAAACCTGAAGGGATTTCATTGGTTTGAAAGAGGTTCATGAACTAAATCAACTCAGACTTTAAGCTTCTCACCACATGAAATGCTCTAATTTTATACCCCAGTAATTCTTAATCGTGCAACAAGATATTCTAAGTTCCATCATTAACCTTCTAAACATATTTGCAGCCTCATTGGAATGCACTATGGATTGCCCAGCTAGAGCACCTGTAAAGTAATCACTCAAAATAAGATAGCTTCCAATAGTAAGATAGAGGAATTGAACTGTCAAAGACCACAAAACATTTTGCATTCTAGGGTAGTTTCTAACCGATAGCATACTTGACAAGGAAGAATTCACTTGATATTAATGTTTCTGGTTGTTGCACACTCAACTCAAGTCAAATAAGCTTTAGTAAAACAACTTGGCGCTTAAATTTCTCTTTCTTTCCTTAACACTTGAATAAGAATTCATAGAGGTGATGATGGAAATTAACTGGAGAAAAGAACCGTCTATAACCATCATATTATAACATTTACAGCAGGGGAAACAAATAATAATAAACACTCAAAAAGTATATAAAAATCAATTTCAGAACCAGTTAAGAAAGATCCCAAAAATTTCTGAACACATGTGAATCCTAACTTACAAAATTTGAATGAACATAAGCAACATAGTCTAAATAAAACAAATACTGGTTTTCCTATGATTTTGACATTATGAGAGGAGAGAATTCAACTAAGGCCATGCTACTAGAACTTAAGCAATGGAAAACTCACTACATGTGTCCTCTTCCACAGGAGGGCGGATAGACGAAAAACTAGGGATGGCAATGGATAGGGTTCGGGTTGGGTAATGCAATACCCATACCCATGCCCATACCAAAAACCAATCACATCTTCGATCCCCATACCCTACCCAATACCCTATTGGGTAGGGAATGTTATACCCAGCCGCAAAACCAATGGATTTCGTTATATCCATGGGTACCCATTATCCCTATATACCCATGGGTATACATTACCCACGGATACTCATTTATCCACTTACTCATATTATTTAAAAATTAGATTATATTGAATTAAAAAATTAAAGTATTTATCCAAATGATTTATATCATACATAAAAACGTATGAAAATAAATTAATACATAAATAGTTAGACTTACATATTGAATTAAAAAATTAAAGTAATTTATCACCAAATGGGGCATTTATAATCATACATAAATATACGAATATACATAAATAAATGGTTTTGAATCAAGTAATAAATTAAAATTTTGGTAATTCCAAGCTCCTGTTCTTGCTTATTCATTAATACTGGTCACTGTCAAATGTGAATTGGTAGTGAGACTAATTACCAAGTGTAATTAAAAATCAAATTAATAGAGATAACTAAAAAAACGAATCATTGGTATTGAATTTGAAGAGAAATTCTACGCATCCTAAGGATACTAATAGATATATGTTATAGATGTGTCCATTTGAACACTTTCATATCACTATTATCATTATGCTGTTTTCTCGTTAGACATTAATTCGTGAACTGCATGAAGGATCTATGCGGAATGAATGATTAAAATTAAATTTTAATAATTTCATGAGTAGAATAAAATTTTAAGAAATTAGTTGACAATTTAAATGTGAAATTATGTGAAAAACGTAATTAGGTGGACAGCTTATTTTGCAATATCAGCACTTGTTATGTCAAATAATATAGTAAAGATTATAATGTTATAAAGATGTGAATTTACTAAGGTTCAAACAAGTAACCCAGGGTTTAATTAAAGAATTTTTGAGTAACCTGGATATATGATATTTTGTTTGTAAAATAATGATTAAAGTGATTTCGAATCTCTATGTGGGTTTGAATGTTCGGGGTTGATTAGAGGTTTGTGTGTTGAGTGATGGCGTATATTGTATATTCATTGATGTGACGTTTCGTTGCATGAGGAAGTACTTCATGAGTTGTTCGAAGCGAAGTAAAGTAACTTATAGGTTTCGGGTTTTATCTAATGACATCTGCCTAGCTTGATTCGGTATAAACAGCGGTCAAAATCCTATAAAATTGGTCGGATTTGTGACTGAGTTCGGGATTGGGTGCATACGCCATCGGGTCGGGTTGATTTTGGCCTCATCACAGCTATGGAGATGATATACTCAAATCATAGAACTTATATTATTCAAAAATTTATCAAGGACAATTATAGGAAAACGCAGAGACACTTGAAAATCCCCCTCCCCTTCTACGCCCCTTTCTGATTGCCAAAATTGACAGGTTACTTTTCAAATAGCATTGCTTCATTTGGACGAAAGTCCGGCTGTCACAAAGTGGTGCGTATTCAAAAATTACCAGCAAAAATCGGAATGGGCGGCTCTCGCTCGCTAGTCTCACATTGCAGAAGGTATCCAGGACTATTTTTACGTTTCACGCGTCTGCAGAAGGTCTATATGCAGCAGAACTTGCCATGTGCCTGCAGTTCTCGCCATTTTGCATTTGGATATTGGATGGCGATGGTCGGCGTGTACATGGTTTGTATTGTGCAATAGTATATGCTGTAGAATAGGTATTTGCAGTAATATAGGGTAAAGTATAATTTTGCTAGATCGTGAGGCATAAGACGGCTTGTAACGCGTAAGTACACTAAAAGGGCGAGTACGTTTAACGCCCATACGCACTCAGAGAAAGAACCGATTCTTTAATTTATCCTAATTCCAATCTGTCATGTTGTAGGGAGATTATTTGCAAATAGAATCAATCACTAGCAGCACATCTGATGTTGAGATGAGTGTAGAGTGATACAAATATTTTCTTTTTCTTTTCATTTTCAAACTTGTAGGAGATAGTATGAGGGGCTACACAAGAGTAAAATTTAAACACTGTTAAGATGTACCAAACATCAACTGTCAGCATCTTAGAATATAAATAAGCCATTTTATCAGGCCCTCCCAAAATTATTGTCAACGGGCGCGTACACGTTACATCTTTGACAAATTGTAATGAGCAATAGACTGGATCGAGGGCTTCCCAATGAATGTATTAAAGGAAAAAAAAATAATTTTGGAAAATGCGAAATGAAAGAAATGTTTCAATCCATAAATCTAGAAGATGAAAAGTAAACACGTGGCATGTAGTGATTAAGACACGATAGCCGTCAAAAGCAAAAAAGCCCCCTCCAGGTTTCAGGCAATTGCAGCAGCTGCCATTGCTAAGCATGAAGAAGGTCATCCATGCCGCTTGATTGTACACCAATCTAATGCGAGCCTTGGCTCATGTTGACACCAATTCAGTTGCTTGGTAACCCGAGATATCATCAAGCTCGGTATGTAGTGGAGGATTACTAACAACACCAGCCTAGATTTCCTTTACAACATCCATTAGCGGTTCAAAGCAAGATCACTTTTCCTTACCGTCAAATAACAGTCACTGAATTTGAACATTAAACAGGCAGAGGTTAAAAATGACAATAAGACGGATTAGCACCATCCAGCCAAACATGGTAGGATGAACAAGATGGGGCAATGATAAACTACTGAGAAATGGAGAAATGATGGGAAATATTAAACTGATCCTGTGTTAATACGCAATATATTAACCGTTTCAAAATTAAAAAATTAGGCATTCGTCACAATCATTATAAACGCTTTCTCGAACCATTTAACATTATCCCTTGTCAAAACTTCAACTTATCTTCCTCTACAAGAAACATCCATTACATATTGGGTTTTCTTATCAAAGGAAGCTATGTTAGTTACAACGAATTATACAATATTAAAGACAAAATTGTTTACATGAACAGTCACCACTCTATAGGCAACTAATTCTTTAATATCATTAAAGCAAGGCAGAACAAGGGCAAATTTTTTGTGAATCTTGATGAGAGCAGAATGTATAGCTCGCAGTTATGGAAAAATTCTTATATGAGGTAAAACAGGGGATTATTATCGAAAATCCAATACCTTCAAAAGATAATGTAACTATATATAGACAGATACTGCAACGTTCTTGATTTTGAAATCCCAACGAACTCAGTCTCAGTTGGCAGCTGAGACCTAGGATCAAGATATTACAGCCAAATCTCATCTCTGCCTGGTCACTTGATTCAAAGTTTCAGGATGAATTCAAATAAAAACAGAACGCGATTTGGGGCAGGGCAGAGGACGTATTGACATCGAGTGAATAGTTTCAATTTACTAAGTTGAAGATTTTTTTTTTTTTCTGAGCATCAAATCCAACAATAATCTTCTCTTCTCAGTAGAATTCAAGAGAAATGCATTAACAACATGTTTTCAAAATCTAACATGACGAAACTAATAAATTATTCTGATGAACTATGGCAAATATTCATCAAGCAAAAAAGAAAAAAAACTCCATCAAAGTAAAATTCAGAATGACTAAGCAAAATATTGTCAATAAAGGAGAAAAAAATCCATCAAGCAGTTAAATATTCAGAGCGCTTCACTAATCCTTTTCCTTTTTAGTTTTTTAATTTGAGAAAACCGGAAGTGGTGGTGCAAGTTAACTGCGACAGACACAATAGATCCCTTGTATTCATAATTTCTTTCCCCATAACACGCTTGCAGAAAAAAAATCCATCAAAGTAAAATTCAGATGACTAAGCAAATATTGTCAATAAAAGAAGAAAAAAAATCCATCAAAGTAAAATTCAGAGCATCACTAATCCTTTTCCTTTTTTTTTTTTTAATTTGAAAAAGATGCAAGTACTACACAATAATCCCTTGTAATTATAATTTCTTCACAAACCTGCAGGCCATATCTCTCTACATTATCAGTGGCGACAGAAACTGCGACTCGACTTATATCAGTAGCAAATACTCTTCCCTGATTTCCCAAAATCCTGCCAATATCAATCGCAATAGCACCACTACCAGTCCCTAAATCTGCCCACAAACCTTCTTTCAACTCTCCACAATTCAAAATCACATCTTTCACCAAATCAACAATTAATTCAGTTTCAGGCCTGGGAATCAGGACCCCTTCTTCTACACTCAACACCAAATCCCTCCAGTGCTCACACCCAACAATATACTGAAAAGGTCTCCTCTCCTCAATTCTCTGCCTCCAAAGAACATATAGTTCATCCAAACATGCCCTTAACCTAACATCCATGGAGTGATTTTCAATACCCAGTTGAGATATCAGTGAAGGGTCTTCAAGTGAGTCTTCTATTAGCCATTTGAGTTCTCTACAAAGAAGACTGGAGTCCGGGCCATTATCTAAGTCAACAAAAGAGTTCCCAATTGAGGAAGCAAGTTTTTTAGCCCAGTCATGCCATTTTTTGAGGTCGGATAAAGAGGTTGAGTATGTGGGTGGCCTTAAAAAGAGTGGGGTTTTGAGTTTTCGCGGACAGAAGGTTGTTGATGAGGATTTTGTAGAAGAGCAAATGGGTTTGGATAGATGGGCAAAAAGAGATGGAATACGACCAGCAGAAAAAACAGAGCAGCTGAGCTTCATCTTTTCTCGGATTTAGCTACGGTTTTCTGGTTCCCCGTCTTCCCTCATGATTAGATTGAAATGGAGGGGGAGACGGTATGGTTCTAAAGCTCATTAACAAAAATTCAGTGTTTCACGACATTGGGGATTAAATGGCGATATCGTTTTGTTCTTGAATGACGGTAATCTGATAGTAAACGGCCGAACGGTCTTGGTCGGGCAAGGACAGCACGTAAACCTACAAATATTTATCGGGGTCATTTGATTTATGTTCTGTGGCAAATCAGAAAATGGCAATGGCGATTTAGTCCGCAAACGACATGTTCCAATGCGATACATCTCTTGTAAAACGACAATCTCACATCTGACGGAACTCGCACGTTCCCTTAAATCTAATCTGATGTACATTTCAGGATTGAGTTTAAGCACAATGTTGTCCATTCAGTTATTAATTTTTGTTCCTCTCCATATAATTTTTTATTTAACCATATAAGCCCTGAACTGAGTCGCAAAATTATATTTCATCCTTCACCGTTTAATTTATAATTTATAATTTTTCTTCCGGATTGTCCTGTGAATCTATGTTATTGACTAACGTTTAATTTATCATCAAACCTCAATAAATAAATAAATACTGTGGGAAATCTATGGTTATTGACTAATCGTTTAAAATTTAATAGACATCAAGACCTCAAATTCAATAAATAAAAATATATATATAATCATATAGTATTCATATATATTATACTATGATACTATAATAGGTATCAGTGTCGTGTGTGTGTGGCTTAAACTTTTCTTTTATCAATATCAGAGCGAGTACGTATTTATACCCAGCGGCTGCGACTTACCGGGAGCACGCCTACATCGGCTCTTGAGCTTTAGTCACAGTTCAAGTCATTTTTACTCCTCATGTGGGCAGGATGTAACTTTAATGGGCAATTAGAAATTGAGAGATTAGCCATAACCTTCGTGAGTAATAGCTATATATATAGTAAGTATAGTATAGTAGTGCAATGTCGCATTTTAAGTTTGTTGTGACATATTGAACAAGTCCCATTTTGAGACCGAGTACTCTGTATAAAGATACTCCCCAAGTGTGAGTGTGCGAACTAATACTCTTTATCCAACCAATATCTATGTGAGGTTGTGGCGAGAATAAAGGATGGAGGGTGTGTGTGTGTGTTAAACTTTTTTATCAATATCGGATACTATTATCGGGGGACCGCCTAATCCGGCTCTGAGTTTAGTCACAGTTAAGTCTTTTTACTCCTCATTGCAGGTGTATTTAATGGGAATTGAAATTGAGAGATTAGCCATAACTCGTAGATATATATATATATATATATAGCAAATGTCCATTTTTTTGTTTGACATATTACAAGTCCCATTTTGACCATACTTGTATAAAGATATCCCAAAGTGTGATGTCAAATACTCTTTATCCAACCAATCTATTGAGTTTGGCGAATAAGGTGGAGGAAGATGATAACACCACCAACACCAACTCTACACGGTCAATTTTCAGCTCACCAAAAATACTTCACAAGCAAACTCATTTTCCTTCCTTCCTTTCTTTCTTTCTTAGTGTTTTCTTGCAACTCTCAAAACTTTCCAAACCCCCACCAAAATATATGAAAATAGAAGCATTGCCAAGTCAAGCTTATCTCCCAAACTCTTAATTAAGCCCAATAATAAAACTATTTGCTTTTTTGTATAGACTTATATTTAATTTTTCATAGTAACGCCAAATTTGGTGTGTTAGCTCATCTCCTGATATTCTTCTTCTCTTGGCTTAGACATACTTTGTTTCTTCATCCCACTTTCACTATCCTTACTTCTCTATCCTTTCATTCTCTTCAATGGATTTACCGGTGAAGTCGCCGGTTTTCGGTGACCAGAAATTCTCATATAGACTAGAAACCAATAATTTATCCTATAAGTTATGCAGCAAATTTGATGAGCTAAAATGGGTTTTTCTTGGTAAAACTCAAAATAAACCTACTAAATTTATTCTCAAGGAAGTAACCTGTGAAGCTAAGCCCGGAGAAATTACCGCCATTGCGGGTCCAAGTGGTGCAGGCAAAACTACATTACTAGAAATTCTTGCAGGAAAGATTTCTACTAATGAAGTCTGTAATCATGTTTTTGTAAATGACAGGCCAATGAATGCAAAACAATTTCGAAGGCTATCAGGCTATGTTACTCAAGATGATGCGTTGTTTCCATTACTTACAGTGCAAGAAACACTAATGTACAGTGCACTTTTAAGACTGAAAGGAGGAGCAAAAGAGGCTACTAATAGAGTCAAGAGATTGATGAAAGAACTTGGACTAGAGCAAGTTGCAAATTCAAGAATTGGTGATGGATCAAATAATAAAGGGGGCATTTCAGGCGGCGAAAGGCGCAGGGTTTCGATCGGAGTTGATTTAGTACATGACCCTTCTGTTGTTTTAATCGATGAACCTACTTCAGGTTTGGATTCAGCTTCAGCTCTACATGTAACGACGTTGCTTAAATCAATGGCAGTAAATCAAGGTAAGACTATTGTTCTAACGATTCATCAACCTGGATTTCGAATCCTCCAATTGTTAGATCATATTGTTTTGCTTTCCAATGGATTTGTTATGCATAATGGTTCATTACAATTCCTTGAACAAAGACTTAAATTGTTTGGTCATCATATTCCTCACCATGTCAATGTGCTCGAATTCGCTATTGACGTTATAGAAACATTGGAGATACAAAATCCTGTTTCGATAAACATTACTCGACGGATTACTCAAGAAAGAAGCAATAACCAAGAACTAGAATTCCATGGGAGGACAACGAAGATACTAAATTCGCCATTTGAGGAGGTTATGATACTGGGAAAAAGATTCTGCAGCAATATTTTTAGAACCAAACAATTGTTTGCTACAAGAATAATACAAGCATTAGTAGCTGGATTTTTACTTGGAACCATATTCTTTAATGTAGGGAATCAGAAAGGAAAAACTGCTTTACAAACTAGAATTGGGTTTTTCGCTTTTAGTCTTACTTTCTTGCTATCTTCAACAACAGAAGGATTGCCAATTTTCTTGCAAGAAAGAAGAATATTAATGAGAGAGACTTCAAGAAGTGCCTATAGAACTTCTTCTTATGTTATATCAAACACTCTCATATTTCTTCCTTTTCTTTTACTAGTTGGCCTTCTTTACTCTACTCCAGTTTACTGGCTAGTGGGATTGAGAAGAGAAATTGATGGGTTCTTCTACTTCTGTTTAGTGGTTTGGATGGTGCTTTTGATGTCAAATTCTTTCGTAGCTTGTTTTAGTGCATTAGTGCCAAATTTCATTATGGGTACTTCAGTAATTTCAGGGCTAATGGGATCTTTCTTTTTATTTTCTGGGTATTTTATATCAAAGAATAAGATTCCCAATTACTGGATTTTTATGCATTATTTGAGTTTATTTAAGTACCCATTTGAGTCTTTCTTGATCAATGAATATGGAGGAGAAGAAGGTAGAAGAAGGTGCATAGAAGTTGATGATAGAGGAGGAATGTGCAGTTTGTATGGAAGTGAGTTTTTGAAGCAGCAAGGTTTAAAAGAATCACAAAAATGGAGTAATTTAGGAGTAATGTTTAGTTTTATTATTGGGTATAGAGTGCTTTGTTATGTCATTTTGTTGTATAGATGTTATAGAAATAGATGAAATATTTTTCCTGATTGTAGAATTTTCTTTTTTTATCTTTGTGATTTTACTCACTTTCTACAGGAAGATGAAGCCAATCCATAATAAAATTTGTCAATTTATTTATTATAATAAAAGAAATTCCTGCTATCTATGTTTTGGCTTTGGACAAAAAGGATATCAATTCCTTTTCTTTCTTTCTTTCTTTTTTCTTTGGTTATATATATATAGTTTGATTTGATGCAAATATTCTGCAAGTAGTTTAATAATTGAAGACCTATTTTATAAGGTTAAACTTTATAATAATCTCTCCTCATAAAAAATTTCTGATGAGGCAAAAATAAAAATAGGATGGACTATTATTCTAATTGGACTATAATATATAGGGATGAAAGTAAGACGAGTATTTTAGGGTACTCGCTCCGCTCCAATCCATTGAGAGTACGAATATTTATAAATGGATTTGAGATGAATACGGATGTTGAAATTACTATCTGTAACGGATATGGATAAAATACAGATATAAGACTCAAGGTACCCAATAATCATTATCATATCTAATAAATAGTTTACTCATTTATTAGTAAAAAAAAAAAAATTGCAATTTAAATAAGTTTGAATTTTGATAGTTTAAAAATTGCAATTTAAATAAGTTTGAATTTTGATAGTTTAAAATTATGGATACTTTATTTATTTAAAGAGTGTTTTTAAACGGATTTAACACGGATACGGATAGTAAAAATACTGATACTCTGCCAGACAAAGTCAGGAGTGTTTGGCTTCTACAAAATTTTTTAAAGTAACAAAAGTTATAGAGTAGTTGCTAGTTTAATGGTAAGGGTATTGTTGCCAAATCATGCGACTTGAGTTGAATTCTTCATAGCTGCAATTGTTTTTCAGCTAATTATTATATCAGTTAGTTTTTGCTAGTTATTATATCAGTTAGTTTTTGTTTGGGCAGTTTGGCAATATCATTAATTTTCTGAATTTTTTTTGAAAACTTAATAATTCATTAATAATAAATATAAATTGTGTAAGTCATAATATTTCTATAGGAATAATAAATACAAATATAGAAAATTGGAATATGTTCTTCATTTTGGCAGAAGAGGTTAATTTTTTGAATAAAAACTAGTCCATTTTCAAATAGGATAACAAAATAAACCTTCCATAATATTGTCTCGAATATTGTTTTTTTGGAAACGTTACAACTGACACTTGCAGAAGAGTTTAATATACCAAATTTTAATGAAAGAACAGACCACACTACCAAACTCCATTGGTAAAAGAAACTTACCCGAAGTTGAAGATCTGAAATTTCAATCACAAGCAACTAACTATCTATCTTGTCTTTTGAACTGACTGAGAAATATAAGATCCACATAAAAATTTCTTAATAACGAGGAACAACCCCATAAAAGGAAAAAAAATATTAATAACCGCACTAAGAGAGTACCAAAAACACTCAAGATCTATAAATTTAAATGACTAAATCTAAATTTTGTTCCAAACGATCGTAGATTTAGAAATTATTAAAAAGAAAATTAAACAAAATAAAGAAAAACGATAGAGATGGATAAAAGAAACCACCGCCGACCAAAGAAGACGATTCATGGTGATTTAAAAATAAAATCTAGAAGAACACAAAAAAGAGAGAGCCACAGACAGATACGACTAGAGTTTAGAATTGGAGCCCCTTATTTCCATTTCAACAAAGTCCCAATTAGTTGCAATTTTTTTTAGCTAATTATTACATCAGTTAGTTTTTTGTATGCACAATTAGCTATATCATTAATTTTAATTTTAGGTTATATAATTTTACTTTATTTTTAAATTTTAGTTTTGAGTTTGATTAATTCTATGAATACATAAAAATTCACATAAATGTTAAAATAGACAATTATAAATATGAATTTCAATTGTTTATTATTGGTTATTTAATTAAAATTTAATAACTTAAAAACTTCATAATTTTAAATTCATTAAATGAAAACATATGATATCTAATTCATTTAAAGGGATAAATTTAATATTACAATCCATGATTCCATTTTAATATTTTTTAAAAAAATTAATATGAATTACATTGATTGAAATTTAGAATTATAATAATATATTTAAAATTTTTTAAATGCTAATAGTTATTTTTATTGTAATTTATACTCCGTACATTTTAGGAAGTCATTGTTTTTTTTCTCATTGAAAGTCATTATCTATATTAATATTTTTATTATTTTATTGTCATTTATACTGTTTTATTGATGTGATTATACTATTTTTAGTGCCATATAATTATATTATTTTTAGGTGCTTTTTTATTCTATTTATTTTTTATTCATCATATGGAGTTAAACATATTTTTCTCTCTATAAAAAAATCCCGATTCTGTTACTGCTCGCTCCGCTTTCATCCTTAATGATATCCTACTGATTTACTGTGAAATTTAGAGTATGACTTTCAAGTGGTTATAGGTTTGAGACCTACTACTTGAGAAATTTATGATTTAACTAAAAAAAAGAACTTCTAACATTTGTGAAAGAAATTTACCTTGATGATTTTCCAAAGTTAATGCTTGATATGGCATAAAATTACTGTTTTAAAATAATTAATTAAGCCAATTAGGTATGACCTTGTTAGCTCCTGATTTCCTCTAAAAGAATAGGGGAATTAGATGTTTTCAAGTTGAGTCAGTTTACTCATTAAATCTATCTGTATCAATATAATAAATATATATAATACAAGTATGGAAGTTGATATGACATAAAATTTTTGATTTCAAGTGCTGACATCTAACTTGGTATTATTTAATTTAATTAATCTATTTTTATATTTATGATTTTGCTGAAAATTAGGTTAAATAATTGTTATTAAATAATGATATCAAATAAAATCTTTGGCTAATGAATCTTAATTATGACTAAGCTCTGAGCTGGATTAGACGGTTCCTAGTAATAATCCGGATAAAGGTGATTTACACTAAAAAAAAAATATCATGAGTGATTGTATTAATAACGTCAAACCAATAGTGAGGAATTGAAAATACAATCTTCTCCATATCATTTTAATTCTTAATTTAAACTATAAATTTTCATATGTAGAAGTACAACCAACCTTTTATAACTTTCGTTGCTTTAAAAATATATAAATTTCATTTTATTTTCTTTAAAATTTTAGAATAACATTGGTACTCGGTGGCTTCATTCGCCGGTGGTGGGCAGTGGTGGCGCTTCAGGAAGTCGGTACACTGTGAATCCCTCTAATTTCGGGATGGGATCTTTCTCTGCTCACAATTTGAATTTGAATGGGGATGATTTGGTTGGCAAGTGTCATGACAGGAATATAGGGGAGAATAGTAATGCTGGTGGACTCTCGGGTCAGTATTTTTCTGATGGATTGGTTTTCGTTTCGTTGATCCCAAGAGGCGCAGAGCAGGCCAGGATACAAGTGTTGAGATGGGCCATGGTATTCGTATGGATAATGTTGTTTCTAATGTTACAAAAAACTTTGTAGAGGCGGGTCTTGGTTCCCATGCCCACCCAGCGGAATGAGGTCTCTTAATTGGAACTGTAGTGAGCTGGGCAACCCACGTTCAGTTCAGGCCCTTCAAGAAATTGTACGAGAAAAACGACCCAATTTTATTTTTCTTATTGAAACATTATGTTTGGAAAATAAAATTAATGAAATAAAGTACATTATTGGGTTATGATGGTTTTTATTCTGTTGGCTGTTTGGGCCATAGTGGTGGCCTTGCTTTTCTCTGGAAGTCTGTTATCTCTACTCATTTGCTTAATAAGTTTGTTCGGTATATTGATGTCGAAGTTGAGTTAGAAGATATTGGGAAGTGGAAGGTCACTGGTTTCTATGGGCATCCTGAGAGATCCCGTCGTCATGAATCATGGACACTCCGTAATATTGCGGATCATAGTTCGCTGCCTTGGATCTGTTTGGGGGATTTTAATGCCATTATGGCGGCTCATGAAAAGCGAGGTGGTCGGCGGCAGTTTAATTCCCAGATGCAAGCTTTCTGTCAAGCGGTGGAAGATGTTGGTTTGTGTGACTTCACTATGGGAGGTTATAAGTCTACCTGGGAGTCAGGGCGGGGGTCGGACCACTTGATTAAGGAGAAGCTGGATCGTGTTCTTACTTCTTTTTCACGGCGGAGTTCTTACCTCATGCTCAGGCTTATGCTCTGGATTTTTTTCTTCCTTGGGCCATCTTCCCATTTTTGTGGAGGTGCACCAGTTGGTTCCTAGGGCTGTGGCGAAGAGGTTTCATTTTGAAAACTCTTGGGCTGTTGGACTTTTAGCAATAATATCCTACTTTTGACATTTGTAGTAAGCTTCAAAAATGTGGGGAAAGCGCTGTATCGCTGGGTTTTGGATTTGCGTGATGTGGATAAACGGGAGTTACAGCAGGGTCGCGTTCCTATGCGGCGTCTTCATGGGTCAAGGGTGCGAGAGGAGGTTGAGCAATTTACTACTGCTAAGTCTCAATTTCATGATATTCTCAATAAATGAGAGCTCCTTTGGAAGCAGCGTGAAAAGATGTTTTGGCTTAAGGAAGGGACTCTAATACCCGCTTTTTTCATGCCATGGCCACTACTAGGCATAAGCAAAACACTATCCGGCGTTTGAAAGATGGGTCTGGGGTTTTGGTTTTGGGGGGGGGGGGGGGGGGGAGGGGGGGGGGGGGGGGGGGGGCGTGCAGTTTGGAGGGTGTGTTATTTCTGGGCGGTGCAGTTTGGAGGGTGTTATTTCTGATTATTTTTTCAATATCTTTCATGCTAACCCAGGTGATATGAATCCGGTTCTAGAGCATGTGGTGGAGTGTGTGACTTCAGAGTTTAATGAGTTGTTGCTGGCACCCTATTCGTGCAAGGAGGTTCGAGCGGCGTCCTTCAGTATGCAGCCAGATAAGTCTCCGGGCATTGATGGTTTTAATCCGGGTTTCTACCAACATCATTAGGACATTATTGGGCAGGATATTGGGCAGGATATTGCAATGACATGTATTGGTTTTTTGCATTCGGGCACTCTTCCTTCTCATCTTAACGAAATTGCTCTTGTTCTCATCCCGAAGAAGGCTCATCCAGGGAGTATGTCTGATTTGCATCCTATAGCTTTGTGCAGTCTCTTTTATAAGATCATGTCGAAGATGATAGCTAATAGACTAAAACAGGTGTTACCGGCTATAAGATCTCCCTCCCAGAATGCGTTTTTTCCCGGACGAAGTATTCATGACAATAGCATTATAGCCTATAAATTAATGCACTTTTTTAAATGGAAATGGAGTGGTCGGGATGGTTTTGTTGCTTTGAAGATGGATATTAGTAAAGCATATGACCGATTGGAGTGGAGTTTTATGTTGGCTGTGCTTAATAAAATGGGTTTTGCTGCCCCATGGGTTCGGCAGGTTATGGAGTGTATTTCTACGGTGCATTATCGGGTGGTTCATGATGGTATAGAGATTGGGCCTATTTTTTACCGTGGCTTGCATAAGGGAGACCGATTTCCCCCTATATTTTTATTTTGTGTGCTGAAGGGTTTTCCCGTTTAATTTCGTTTCATATTGTTAAGGGCAGTTTACATGGGAGTCGGATCACAAGAGGGGCTCCAGAGATTTCGCACCTCTTCTTTGCGGATGACAGTTTGCTTGTGTTTCAAGCTCAAATTGCAGAAGCAATTATTGTTAAACAAATTATTGCTCTTTATGCTCAGGCTTCCGGGCAAGTGATCAATTTCTCAAAATCTTCTGCTTGTTTTAGTGGCAATGTCTCGTGAGTCACCCGTGCTTCCATTTATTTTGTGTTGGGGGTGGTGGAGCAGCGAAATTTGGGTTGTTACCTTGGTTTGCAGACTGTGATTGGTGGCAACAAACTGGAAGTATTTCAGTTTCTTAAGGATAGGGTTTGGTAGAAGTTGTACTCTTGGAAACGACATTGTTTATCGCGTGCGGGTAAAGAAGTGATGCTCAAGACTGTACTATAGGCCATGCCAAACTATGTCATGAATTTGTTCTTGCTCCCTAAAACGCTGTATGCTGAGCTTCAACGTATTTTTAGTCCTACTGGCGGGGTAAGGGTCTGCAGCATGAGAAGGGTATTCATTGAATGAGCTGGGAGCGAATGAGCAGGTCAAAATGCCTTGTTGGGTTAGGTTTCAAGCGACTCCATGAGTTCAATCTGGCTATGCTGGGGAAACAGGCTGGGTCTCTTGTTTCTTCTCCTACTTTTTTGGTCTCTCGGCTCCTTAAAGCATGCTACTTTCTGGATACATCTTTTCTAGAGTCCTCATTGGGCTCGAATCCTGGTTTTCTTTGGCGTAGCTTCTGGGCTGTTAGAGATTTGTTGAAGACTGGTGTTTATTGGAAGGTGGGTTCAGGTTCGAACATTTTGGTTTGGAATGATTTTTGGTTACGGTGCTCTCCTTCATCTATGATTTCCACAATAAGACCTGCTTCTACTGCTTCTACTGTTTCAGATCTCATTCGTGATGGTAATGGGATGAGCAATCGACTAGTTTTTTTTTTTTTTTTTTTTTTTGATGTAAATGGGATGCAGCAAGACGACTATTTTTTTTTTTTTTTTTTTTTAATCCCTTTTTTTTTTTATAATTAGATAAATTTATAAAGAAGAAAGATTATTTACATAATTAGACTCGATTAATCTGATAATGTAATTGAGTTTGAAACCGAAATTTTCTGAAATATGCTTGATGTTGTGATAAGAATATATTTTTAATTTATTGATACGAAACTAATAGCAATTTAAATTTTTTTTTTTTTTTTTTTTTTTTTTTTTTTTTTTTTTTAATTAGATAAATTTATTAAAGAAGAAGATTATTTACATATTATACTGATTAAATCTATAATTAATTGAGTTGAACCGAATTTTCTTGAAATAGTGCTTGATTTGTGAAAAATATATTTTTATTTGAGTTTGATACGAACTAATTTACAATTAAAAAGAAAATTAAAACAAGTAAATTCCAATTTAGTCATAAGAAAACCTACTGTTTTTCAAGATCTTCTATTAATAATAAGAATTTTATACTTATAAAACAGGATTATTTGTTAAATCTTTTGAATTTATCTATTAGATTTTAATAAAATTTAAAATGATAACAAATAATTTTTATATTATAAGTTATAAAAGTTAATTTTACAGAATTAAAAAGGTTAATTAATCTTTAATTCAATTGGCTTGAAATATATCAATAATTTTTCAATTTATAGTGAAAAAAAGTTTTTATTAGTAAAATATTTAAAATAATTTTTATGTAAATTTTCCTTTTATAATATGGAAAAATTAAAGTTTTTATTAGTAAAATATTTACAATCTTTTAAATAAAAATGCACAATTGACCTAAAGTAAAAAACATTATCGTAAATTTAATTTGAAATTTAAAGAAAAAAATTATATAAATATGATGGATTAATCTAAGATTTTAATCGAACAGAAGTGCAAGAAAATTCGGAAATGACGATAAAACCCGACAACAAACAGAGTAATAGATAATTATTTGCGTGACAAAAATGTTATTTTGCTGAACCGGAGGGTCAATCTTGCCCGCAAATCCCGATCATAAGAGCCTTTCAAAACCCTCAGATCAATTCCTCCCAATCCCATCATAAAACCCTTCAAAACCCATGCCCTCAGACTCCATCAAAGGTTTCTGCAGAAAAACGAAAATGGCTACTCATCTCTTCACTCGCTCTCTCTTGGTCAGACCTACTACCATCAACAAAAGCTTAGTTTCTCTTCTCTCGCGCTACTTCTCTTCCCTTCCATCAACATCTCCTGGTTCTCGCTCTTTCTGTTTTCTCCGTTCTCTTCGCCCACTCTTCACGGCTACAAATTTTGTGTCCTCTAATTCCCGGGCCCTCACAACCCGTTCTTTCTCAACCCGTACTACGACGTCATCGCTCAACGATCCAAGCCCTAACTGGTCTAATCGGCCTCCAAAAGAGACGATCCTGCTGGATGGGTGCGACTTTGAGCACTGGCTTGTGGTTATGGAGAAACCAGAGGGTGACCCTACTAGGGATGAGATTATTGATTACTATATCAAAACCCTTGCTCAAATCGTAGGCAGGTAAGGTGTCTGTTTCCCAAAACTTCAACTAGTTGTTTTTGTTGCTCTTTTTAGTTAGTGGGTTTGTTATTTCGGCTTAATAGTATGTGTTTTACTTTCTTCTTATTAGTTAGGCTATGCTTGAATTTCTAACTTCATGGGCATGTATAAAATTATCGCAATCTCTTTGTTTAGACGGAATGCTGGAGAAAGCAGCGGTTTACTAGCTTAGTTAATCAGATATTTTGCATTTACTAACTTTCCTGTCAATAGTTCCTTATCGTATGTGCTCTGCTATGTCAAGGTTTTCAGTCTCCGTCAATTAATTTTCTGCAAATTTTGTATAACAGAAGATCCATTGTGAGGATCCTGGCTGTCTGGTCTAGTCATGACGTAATTTGAAAAGAATAAACTTGAGGGTCTATTCCATGATTGTAATGAATATTAAAATTAGAATTTGATGATAAACGATTTTTTTTTTCGAACTGGATGAACTGATTCAGGGCATGACAAGTGAAAATTTTGATTCTTTTGTGATAAATTTGTGTTCTTATTAATTATTTTCCCTAGAAATATGTGGCACCCTAAACAACTTTGTCCAATTTTTTTCTGTTAAAAGGCCTCTATATATGTTGGACCTCCTCTTTAAGTATATAAGCGTTACTTATTCAAGCATTAGGATATTTATGGGGAGGAAGGATCAATACTGTTCCTTCTGTTTTCTTTACTCTTACAAGGATTAAACATTTTTTTTAGACTAACTTGTGTCACCAATCCAATTTCAGCCATTAATTTTTAGCTTTTTATTTAGATTACAGCATCTTTGATGTGAAACTTTTATGCTTTCAATACCTTATGCCTAAGATTATTAGATCAGCATATAAAGCAATTTTGAAACTAGTGCAACCTTCAATAAGTCCCCGCATGAGTGGAAATTGAACTCAGACTAAGATTTTTAGATCAGCATATTATTCAGACTACAAATCAAATTTGTTACAATTGGAACAAGTGTAATCTTCAACAGATCCCCAATTGAGTGGAAATTGAACCTGGGACCTTTTGATCTCCTACCTCAATTTCGAACTTGGATTTCAATTTAATCACTAGGCTCAAACCTCAATGGCTAACTAGTAGTAGCTTTGTTTATGTTAAAATAGTAATCAATTTCAGGTTATTTTACTTTATTCTACAATGGATTAATTGTTAAAAATTCTACTATAATATTATATACCATTGTCTCTATTGTTGCAAAAATGTGAATTTCTCATTTCATGGGCATTTATAAAATTGTTATTCACAATCTCTTTGTTTAGGGGGAATACTAGACTAACCAGTGTAGGTTAGTTGAGTAACTTGACTAGTCTTAGTTAATCAGAATTTTAGATATACAAGGATTTAATCTTCCTGGTACGCACTTCTTTTCATGGTGGGAAAAGAGAGTAAACCGTGGTCTCATTTATATTATGGTAGATTTTTCTTTTGTTTTGAATTATGTATGTGAATTTCTCATTTCATGGGCATGTATAAGATTGTTAATTGCAATCTCTTTGTTTAGATGGAAGGCCGGACAAACCAGCGTAGCTTACTTGAGTATCTTTACTAGTCTTAGTTAATCAGATATATTTTGGATTTACGAGGATTAGATCTTACTGTTATATGCTTTAATTTATGGGGGGAAAGAGAGAGCCCTGATTTCATTTGAATTATGGTATGTTCTTCTTTGTTTTCAAGGTTCCTTAATCAATAGTCCTCCCCAACTGATAAATAATTTCATTATGGATTTTAAGTATACTATATTATAGCAGTTATTAGGTAATATGGATATGTCAAACGACAACCCTTGCCATATTGTTTAGCTTTTGTTGTGTACAACTTTTATTTTATATCATGTATCCCTTGTTAGTCTGTCTCTCTCTCTCTCTCTCTCTCTCTCTCTCTCTCTCTTTCTGTGATTGTGTGTCGAGAAAAAATTGAAGCATGTTAGGCATGTGGCTTCTCATGGACAGTTTCGTTTCTTACTTTGCATATGGTTCACTTGCTTCTAGTTTTTGCGTTGCATATGTTGTTTCTTACGCAGAATAGTCTGGCTGTTGATTTTAGTTTATTGATTTTTTATTTTTATGTGATTTATGGATGTGAATGACAGTGAGGAAGAAGCAAGGATGAAGATCTATTCAGTTTCAACCAGGTGCTACTATGCATTTGGAGCACTTGTGTCTGAAGAGCTCTCTTACAAGATCAAAGGTTCATCTAGCTTCCAAGCGCTTAACTTATGCTGTTATTTTTTGTAATTGCTTTTTGATCTCTGATGGATATCTTGTTTTTTTTTTTTTTTTCTTCTTCTCATTCTCTCAGAGTTGCCCAAGGTTCGATGGGTTCTTCCTGATTCATACTTGGATGTGAAAAACAAAGATTATGGAGGTGAGGTGTTCACTTTTTTGCTTACTGGCATTAACATGTCTGCTAGAATCTATTTAGGATTTAGGGTTATAATGAATTTAGGATTTCAAGATATCCATGTTATCTTTACTTTGTCTAGGTTTTAAGAAGAATATCATGTCATATGCATTGGTTTGAATGAAACTTGTCTTTTTATTTTTCTAGTTTTATCTGTAACAGTACAATTGATCGTAAAAGCACTTGGTATTTCTTGGTATTTGATTTTATTAGTTCTGAAATTGAGTCTAATAAGGTTTTTAGGAAAAAATAATGGTTTCAATGCATTTTTAAACACCTGAAAGGATAAAGCCAGTAGCATTTTTGTAGGAAACATTTTGTATCCTCTCATCCCACTCATTGTCTTTTTTGCATTGTATCATGGGTTCTAGACATGCTGTTAGATAATTCTTGCTACATTATCAAATAACCTCTTTTCCTATGGCTGTTATGGTACCTGCTTTCTGCTTTGAGGGATTGCAACTTTCTCATCTGTTTATTTCAGGGGAGCCATTCATCAATGGGCAAGCTGTTCCTTATGATCCGAAGTACCACGAGGAATGGATAAAGAACAATGCTAGGGCAAATGAGAGAAATAGGCGCAATGATAGGCCTCGGAACTTTGATCGCTCAAGAAACTATGAAAGAAGAAGGGAAAACATGCAGAACCGAGATTTTCAGAGCACAAGAGCGGCTCCAATGGATAATCAGGCAGTAAACATGAGTGGACCAGGTGGACCTCCACCACCCCCGCCTCACAACTACTCGGCTGGACCTCCACCACCAGCTCCTCAAAACTACTCAGCTGGACCTCCACCACCCCCTCCTCAAAACTACTCAGGTGGTTCTCCACCACCCCCTCCTCACAGCTACTCGGCTGGACCTCCACCACCACCTCATAGCTACTCGGGGGGACCTCCACCACCACCTCCTCACAGCTATTCGGGGGGACCTCCACCACCTAACAACTATGCACCACCACCTAACAGCTACCGCCCACCACCACCAAACAATTACCCGCCACCGCCAAGCATGCCAAATTCTGGATGGTCCAATAACATGCCTGGGAACATGCAGCAGAACTTCCAGAATGGTCCCACCAATAGAGGCATGCCTCACCAAAATGCACCTTCCAACTACCAGAACTACAATGGAAACAGGGATTGAGTAGACACTAGGCATGGAAGGAGGAAATTTTTGGTTATGGGTTGTATTTGATAACGTATCGGTCACAATGTTTAGTTTCCTGATGATATTCTGCATGGTGCTACTTGTCTGATCAATTTTAAAAATAGAATTCAATTTGTAGTATCTGTTTCAACCTGCTTATTGGATGCTCAAAAAATTACTCTTCTACTTTCATCTCCATGAATACTCTTTGACTACTACGCGTGAAGAAGCACAGGTTTGATGGTGGAAAGTGCATGTTCTGTTTAGCTTTTCATGTTCATCTTTGAAACCCCGCCACAGGTCGATCTCCTGGATGACTTGTGAGCCCAACATTGTAATGATTTCTTGTGCAAGAATGGAGAGGATTGCTTCTGTCATTTTTAGGGAAAATGAGAGCTACGGAAGGTCTTTGGTGGAAATTGTTTCAAGCTTTAGAGAGAAGATTGTGTACTTGTTGTGACTAGTGAGGCCGCCTTAGTCACTGTCTGAAAATTCTCGTGTTTCTGCATTTTGGGACCAAGCGATAATGGTCTTTTAATTCTTAATCATCGGGTGGAATGCACTCAACAGCAGAAACAGGTGCCATTCCGCTTTTTTTTTAAAGGATAATTTAGCGGCGATGTCCCACAAAAAATTTCACTCATTCAAAACCAAAAGCATCTCATGTATATCTCTTTAACCAAAAAAAAAAAAAAAAAAAAAGCTTTTTTTTTAAAGGATATAATTTAGGCGGCGATGTCCCACAAAATTTCATCGATGTCAAAACCAAAAGCATCTCAATGTATACTCTTCTTTAACACCAAAAAAAAAAAACAAAAAAAAAAAGGTCTTTCCATAATAAAAAAAAAAAAAAAAAAAAAAGGGTCTTTCCATAATTATTAGGAATTAATTGGTTCAGTTACAGTTTATAATGTCTCATTTAGCTAGCAAAAAATCTTCTTTATACCCTAGAACAAGTTACTTCTTTTGAATTTTATTAAATGGGTGTTCTAGTATTTTTCTAGAGTAATCAAAACTTTTAACCGACAGTTTCGGTCTAGTTTCAATTTATTTACAATATGATTTGATTTTAATTCATCTACAGAATGGTTCGATTTCGGTTTGATTTTCAGTGCAAAATGAACCGATGACCATGCCTACTTTTAGGTATAAAAATTAATCCTAACTTTACAAAAATCGTTATTTTACTTAAAGCCACTTTTAATGAGTGGAGTAAATTATGTTTTGTTCTGCGTTATACATTTCAATTGAATATAGCATATTAAATAACTACACGATGTTTTTAGCACTATATAGATTTTGTTAGCTTGTAGGTCATCATTCATATATAAAACTTAACAAATACAAAATATGATTCAACATGAGAAGGAAGAGATTTTCTTGAGAAAACAACAAAGTTTTAGAGTCTTTGGTATTAGTTTTTATCTTATTAGTTAGTAAGAGTTTGTATGTCTGAACTACGTTATTGAGTTGAATGATTAAGAAGTGTTATATCAAGAGCTGATTGTCAAATGATTAAGTGGTATATAAAATCATTTTATCTTTCCGTACAATAAATAAATTATATTGCTTTCTTTAATGGATTCTAATAAGAAGTTTTTGTTTTTTTTGTACACCAAAGCATAGCTTAGTGATTAGTGTATATACGAACTGACAATAGATTCAGGTTCGAATCCCTTCCCCAAATACTCTAAAATACAAAATTTAATTTGCAAATATGTAAATATAAATAAATTCAGGTTCGAATCCCTTCCCCAAATACTCTAAAATACAAAATTTAATTTGCAAATATGTAAATATAAATAAGCAACTTATTATTAATTCAGTTCTATAAACAAACTTATCCTGAATTAAAATTTAGGATTCGAGCCTGCAATCCACCAAACAAAAACAAAGGCTCTTGTTCATAGAATTTCTTCCTTCCTTGAGTACACATGGAAAACTTACTCAGTAGAATACACAAAAACTAATGTCAATGTAGAACTTAATGCAGCACAAGGAAAATATGGTCAACAAATAAAGAGTAATCAGAAAAGAAAAAATCCTTGGCAAATGTACGGACTTTTAGGTGGGCTTTCCTCGATGAAGGTTGCAATTTCACATTCTACAGGTTACTAATAATGAATCTAGCTTGGAACATAAATCAATGTATTGCTTTATCTCAGCCATGTTGTGGGTCCCTCCGACATGTGGGACCCACAAAAGTTTGAAGAAAAGAAAAAAAAGGTCTTATTTTGGCGGTCAAAGAAGGCCGTAGAAGGAGAAAAAAAAAGGAAAAGTGGACGCATAATTAACGCGTCAATGAGAAAAAAAAAAAGAAAAGTGGACGCGTGATTAACGCTTCAACCACGTCCATTCGGTTGATGTGTTAATGACGCGTCCACTCGGTTGACGCGTTAATGACGCGTCCACTAAGCAAAACACACAAAAATAAAAGAATACGAATACAGAATTAGTGTAGCGAATTTTAGAAAAGGGTTCTTAAAATTGAAAAAGAGAAAAAATAGTAAGGATTATAATTTTTGGGGTATTTTTGGAAAATACTTAGAGTACCACTATTTTACCACTATTTTTGTAATCTCTTTTGTACCTACTATTTTTAGTGGAAGAATTATTTGGAGTTTTTATCCCGTGGACGTAGCCCATAACAGTTGAGGGGTGAACCACTTAAATCTCGCTGTCCTTATTTTTCATCTGACAGTTGTGGTAATTATTTATTTTTTTACCGTGGTTATTATTTCTGGTAGATTCGATCGTCAATATCCAATACGTAATTATTGGAGGTATATGTGGTAATATTAATTTAAATCTTGATCGGTGCTATTAACTTTTATCGTCGGTAATTTTATTTTACTTCTACCACCGGCATTTTTCCACAGGCCCACTCATTTTACTTCTACCACCGGCATTTTTCCACAGGCCCACTCCGGATCAATTATAATCCCAACAAGCCATACTTCTAAAACTAAAAAGGCTGCAACATAATACAATAGTAATAAACAAAATGATTTCATAAGAATGCCATAACCTTCAACAAAAACACTGTTTAAAAATCTTTAGTTTCATTAATTCGGTTCATAAGTGGAGTTGTAAAATTTTATAGGAATTTTATAAAGAAATTAGAGTAGTAATAATTGAATTATTGTTGTCCTTTAAGAGACGAAAAGGGTCCTATATATATTTAGTACAACTTTTAGAATAACTATTTTCTTATTTTTTAATTATGATTTAATTTCATAAGTTGAAGCATTTTAATGTTACAATTTTATAAATTATGGCATTCACTCGGTCAAAGTGAAATTAGAGGTATCATAAAATTTTTTATATACCTAGTTTTCGACTGTTTAGTTTTCCAATTATGGAACCGAAACCATAATTTATTTCATATCTATACCTAGTTTTTCTGTTTGTAATTTTTCCTAATTTTTCGCTTTATTTAGATTTTGTTTTTCATTTTTTGTTTTATTATTTTATTCCTTCATTTTTGGTTTTGTTACTTCGTTTTCTATTGGTTTATTTTTCTTTGTTGTAGAATACATCTTTTGTTTGATACTAACATCTTTGTTTGAATACTACTTGTATGTATTGAAGGGGTGTGACGTGGATTCATATAAGGTTAGTTTTGTGAATTATTAAAATTTAACTTTTTTTACGACAAAAATCTCAGGTTATCTTCATGTAGTCTAATATCGATTGTTTTGCATTTCTAATTATGCATTTTACAAATGACACTTGCTGAGTAATTTAGGGGCTCTATGCTCTATTAAAATAAGATAAAATTTGAATCTAAGGTGAAATTGTAATTGAATGTGACCCCCTCATTAGAACAATATATTTGCTATAATTTGAATTCAACGTGTAGTTGTGATAAAAAGTTAAAAGCAAGTGTCTGAGTGATTAATGTCATTTTGGGGTGAAATTGTTAAAATCGCCAAAGTTTGGGTATTTTATAGTGTAATTTAGCCAACTCATTATTTGGATCAAGTTAATTCAAGTATAAGTTGTAGGACCCATATTTAATATATATTATTCATTAATTTTGACCAATTTCGAATTGAGATATAATTGTGATAAAAAATTTTAGTTGGAGTGCTTGAGGTGTTTAAGTTGGATTTAGGGTGACATTATTACAAGACGCAAGGTTCGAAGGTATTTAATGGTTTACCCAAATTTTGAATAGACAATTGAAATCATCTTTATTCATTATTTAATAAAAAGTCTCTTAAAGATTTTCAAATAAATTAATTTATTTTTTGTAAAGATTTTCAATAAATTAATTTTATTTTTTTGTCACTTTTTAAGTCATAAAAAATGGAGTGACTTGTTTTTAACCCGGTTTTTGGGCTCACTATGACAGAACCACCAATGAAAAATTATTTTTTTATTAATTTGAAGGTATTTTTAATCATACAATGAAAAAAGAAAATGAAAATAATTTTTAAAATGTTCATAGCTATAAACCTCGTCTTGACAAGTCTAATCTTAAAAATACACTATCAAGTTAGTAATTCAAAAATCTTACTTATTTGAAACTTAAAAACTTTATAAAACTTTTTGATAAATTATAAAATTATGAAAACAACAAATTTTTAGAGTCTTTGGTATTAGTTTTTATCTTATTAGTTAGGAAGAGTTTGTATGTCAGAACTATATTATTGAGTTGAATGATTAAAAAATGTTATATCATGTGCTGATTGTCAAATGATTAAGTGGTATATAAAGTCATTTTACAATCGCAGGAGCAATTTTATCTTTCCGTACAATAAATAAATTATATTGCTTTCTTTAATGGGTTCTAATAAGAAGTTTTTGTTTTTTTTTTTGCACACCAAAGCATAGCCTAGTGATAAGTGTATATACGAACTGACAATAGATTCAGGACATAGATCAGGTTCGAATCCCTTCCCTTCCCCAAATACTCTAAAATACAAAATTTAATTTGCAAATATGTAAATATAAATAAGCAACTTATTATTAATTCAGTTCCATAAACAAACTTATCCTGAATTAAAATTTAGGATTCGAGCCTGCAATCCACCAAACAAAAACAAGGGGTCTTGTTCATAGAATTTCTTCTTTCCTTGAGTACACATAGAAAACTGTAGAATACACAAAAACTAATGTCAATGTAGAACTTAATGCAGCACAAGGAAAAAATGGTCACCAAATAAAGAGTAATCAGAAAAGAAAAA